TGTACGAAAATACTAATGACAAACTCTATGCTTTCGATTTATAAACTAATTACCCACAATTTATTAAATCGTGCATTGAACAACAAACTAAAAGGTGTTTGCCATTAAAATTTTATTTTTAGTAAACCAAAACAGGCAAATATCCAAAGAAACAGAAGCAATCTGATATAGCTTACGTTGTATTTTGAGTATGACTTGGTTTGTTATTGAAACATAGGTAACCTCGCCCATGGGACGAATTTTCACCATGTGGATCGTGCGGCTTCTGGGACTTTCGCATTTACTGCGAATGAAGGGGCTGTGCACCAGATCATTGGCGTGCACTTATGGAGGCAATTGAGTTCGAGTGGAAATCTAGTATTGCTGCTAAGGATTGGTCAAACGTCGCAAAGAAAGGACAGATTGAAGTAAGAATTAATTTTTTGAAAAAATGGCAAGATGCAAACAAAGATTCAAAGATAGCCGTTACATTTTACACTAATGAGAATCAAGTAACACATAATACACCACTCTTCTATTGAAAAAATAGTAAACATGTGCGTCGTAATCTCAAAAAAGCTTTGTAAAAAAGGGGCTAAATCTTTGTAGCGTTTTCTGCTTGCTACTAGAATCTATGGTAGTTTGATAGGTATAGGATAATTTATACTTATCCATCGCAACATTTTCTTGGAATGTATGTGGAGACAAATACAAATTACGACTAAATATTTTGAATTTGTTCGGCCTACAGGTAATAAAGCTCGAATTGAAGAAATTGTTCGATACAATAACATCCTTTCACGATGAAATGTTCTATCTTCATGAAAGGTTGGGTTACCATACTAGTTCCATTTCTTGTAATTTTCTTCAAGCTTGTATACACTTCAACGGAGATTTTTTCGTTTCCTGTTTGGCTTTCACAGGGAGGTTGAAAAGCAAGCTCTCGACAACTTATTCCAAGATGGCCACCTTTACTTTTCCTATCTACCTTGGTTTGCTTGTCTGTGGCTGCCCTCCAATTATGGCATTTGAAGTCATTCTCTGAAAGGAAGAAGCTCATCTTTTCGAGTAGATTGCAAGTTATAGCGAATCAATTTTTACTGCTTACTGAAAACTCACTTCTAATAAGTGGTCTCAAATTATGTTGATTCTGTATTTGATTTCATAATTTTCGGATTTACTGTTTGTAACAGAGCAAAGACTACCATCAGATTATTTAAACTGCTAATTTTCTCTAAGGATCTAATTAATCTGTCTGAATTATAAAATGACAAATCGGAGAAATTTGAGAGGGAACAGCTCTTTATACATTCTTCGGAATAAAATGAATGCATTTTGAATCCTTTCCTCACAGATGAACAGATTAAGAAACATATAATCATCTTAGTTCCCAGCTAGAACCATTCTTGGATCTTTCTTTCTTTATACCTGTTTTCAAGTTCAATCCTTCAATTTTTCATGTAGTATGCTTCGATCTTCCTATTTACGGGTGCTTGGTAATTCTTCCTTTAGCTGAAAAATACAGTGTATCATATATATTCCCATAAGACGGAAAAACTAAAATCCAAGAGGCAAATAATAACGAGATCACTACTTACTATTCAGCTTATGTATAGTATATCTTGATGTATTCATTCTTCCATTGTTTACTCGAATTGAAGTATGAAAAAAAAAAATGACCACCTCAGTCCTTGCAGAATATGAGATTGAACAACCTTTTCCAGAAACTAAAACCCGGTGTATCAATCAAGTGTACAGGATCCTTGAATTTCGCCTTCTCACTGAGTTCTTCAAATGAGTTTACGAGATTCTGAAGCCTAGCAACAAACTCTATCAACAAAGAAGTAAATGTTGCCAGTGATAATGCACTTGCACTTTCATATGTCCGTAGTTCACGTTCATTGAGAATGTTATCACCTATCAATGAGAGTCGTGAAGGCCACATTGTCTGATGTTTGAGCACATTTTCTCCAGAACCACACTGGGGAACAAGGAGATTACTGCTCATGTTCGGGTCCTGAGGATCAAAGTCTCTCAATGTCTGAGTTGATTTCAGGTTAAGAGTTGCTTCAATTGGAGAATTTACGACAAAAGGTTGCTGTTCATCATCCATTAGTTCTTGAATGTGTTCGGGATCCTCCAATTTATCGGGTCGATTTCCACTTTCCCATCTCTCTGGACTGACCAAAAGATAAGATTTTTGGTCAATCATCATTTGCAGATCTTCTGCAGCTTTATGAACCTCCTGAAGCAGGTCTCCAGGGCCTAGTTTTTCCATCCTTTCTACTTTCTCTCCTAGTAGATGTAACACTTTAGCTCCTTCGTTCCCTACCCTACGAATCTCATTCTTAAAAACCTGCCTTAATTCAGATGATGCCTGCAAGTGAACCTTTTGCCTGTTTGGTATAATGAGTAGGACTAGAGAATATAATAAACAAGATTTCAACTTATGATGTTTCAGGAAGTAAGACCTATTTCAGAATAAAAGCAACAACATTGTCCAACTACAACTAAACATGATCATCTGAAATTACATACTACAAACTTCATTAGAATTAGGTGCAATAAAGGCTCAATTCAGTTTGGCTTAAAAATATATTGAGCATCTGAAAATTTAGTTGTCTCGTCTCTCACCATAAAGACAAATAGGAAGACAGACAAAAATAAAAATTTAAATGTGGTAACAAAATCCAAATATGAATGAAGATGGTACAATTACCTGTATCTCTGAAAGTATACTCCCATGCATTGCCATAACCATGAATGTACAATGCCTAAGAGCACCACTAGCTTTAACATATGCACTCCAAGGATAATTGAACATTTTGTAAGGGCCATGAGGTGGCTCCCATTCTGCAAAACCAAGCTAGAAAGGAAAAAGAAAACATTAACGTTTAACCAATTTTCGAAAGGGAAATTTTTTCAGTAAGAAATTTAAATACTTGGAAACGTGTAAGCATAGCATACCAGAGAATCCTCTTGGCTTGTAGATTCCAATACGGCTCTATATCCACTATATAGAGGATCATCCGAAGCTTGATAGAGAAGAATTTTTGACGGTATCCTAGTATATTCAATAGATTGCAAATACATATTGACACAACCTAAACAAAGGATTACAGTTACGAGACAAGATTAAAACTAAAAGCCATTAAGGTGTAGTGAAAATCAAAATCAAAATCCTAACCTTCCAAAGAATTTGCAACTCCCTTAAAATTTTTCACCACCAATTTGTGCAAATCCTCACCAGCCCATATAGGGTAAACACATATATTTACAAGTAAACAAACACCAGCTCCAACTGCAATTAACAGCAATCTAGAAACGGCTGTTTGAACAAAATTTGAACTTCCCGAAACCAATACAATACAGAAGGTCAACAAGAAAACCCGGAATCCATATTCATAAGACTTCATTGGAGGGTACAACTTCAAATAAGTTGCACAAAATCCTAAAAAGCAGAAACATTTAAAGCTCAATCAATTGAAATTTTTATTTATCAACCAAAAAAAAAGGTAGTTTGCTGACACTAACACATCTTATAGAATTCTTCAGTAGGGAAAAAAAAAACCTGCAATAAAGATGCTGATAACAATTACAACTTCTTGCAATTGTCCAACCAACTCTGACAATTCAGCAATGCCCAAAGCTAGTGCTCCAGCGGATAACGTCCCAAGTGCTCGATTAAATCCTTTATTTAGCGTAGCCCCTACATATATGCGCACCATCAAATACAACATACATGTTCACCGAACAAACCATGAGATCAAATAAGGAAAAGAAAAAGTAAATTCATTATACTTTTTTACCTATGCTGAATTCAAAGACTACAACAACAGTGAGGATAGCCCATATAGAGTATTGACCAATATAATTCAATGGTTCTCTGAAGAAAATGAGAAGTGAAACAAAGGAGAGGGTAAGACCCATTTTAGCTGCAAACACCACTTTTCTTGGATCAGACCGACCCATTTCATATGCCTTGAGAGCATTTTGTTGAAACCCACTACAAGATTTGGCAAATCTATCACAGATAGAATGAAAAAACCTTTGCAAATAACCTTCATGGCCACCAAATCGCCTGTTGTCTGAATATCCTTTAGTGGGTAACAATGTTTCTTTGCTACATTCTGCAAAGCTTTCTGCCATTTCTTTGATATCGATTAAGGTGATGTCAAAAAATATAAATAAACAGAGAGAGTTTAATGATTGGAGCGTGTTGTAGTCCGAGTTAAATTGTTTGTTGAAGTTCTGAAAGGTCAATATTTTTATCTGGATCTTGACGGTTTTGGTGGTTGTAATTTTGGAGTGGGTCATGGGTCCCTTGTGGTGAAAGGATTGTAGTGAATCATTATCGTAAATGAAATGAATGGCGTCGCATGTAATGATTAACTTGCAGTAAAAGTCCTCAACTTTTGAAATATTAGCAGATGTTTCTCAAACGTTTGATTTGTTACAACTGTGAACCTAACGTTTTCCAAATGTTGCAGGTGAAGCTCTTTTAGACAGTATTCATCCATAATTCTGTCAATTGATCAAAAACTTAACTTTGACCACATTTTTTAATATTTTAAAAATGGACAAAAGAGTAACTTTCTATTTATCACATTAAATAATTAAATAAAAAAATACACACACACAATCATATTCTTCATTCTTGGAATTTACTTCTTTTTTATTCAGAGTTCCCGCTTCTTATTTAACGCCTGTCTGATATTGCTTTTTTCCCAGATTTTAATTGAATATTTTACCGTTGCAAGCCGCAGAAGTTGACTTCTTCCTCACATTGTGGGCCCCAAGTTGCAATGTAACGGTCATATAATCAATTTTCTAGCCCAAAAAAATCAGCTCCAGGCAGGCTCTTAGTTCAAACTAGTGAGATTTTGGAGCCAAGAAAAACACATTCTTGAAATGAAGACTCTACAAATTTTTGCCGTTTATTCTTGGAAGGATTCTTGTTATTATTGTTTCAAATTCATTGCAGTGCTTGCTGCAACTCTTCTTGAAAATGACAAGCATGCATTGCTGGATTTTGTTGAAAAGCTTCCTCATATGAGGACTTTGAACTAGAATGAGCAGTTTCCAGTGTGCAAGAATTGGACTAGAGTTGTATGTAGTGAAGGTGGCTCAAGGGTAATTTCACTAAGATTACCTGGGATTGGTTTTCATGGACCTATACCAGAGAATAGATTGAGCCGCCTCTCAGCATTGCAGATCTTAAGCCTTAGATCCAATCGTATTAATGGGAGTTTTCCTTTGGATTTTGGTAACCTTAAAAACCTTTCTTATATTTATCTTTAGTACAATAATTTTAAGAGTCATTTGCCTTTGGATTTCTCTGCGTAGAGGAACTTGATTGTTGCTAATTTGTCTAATAATGAAGGTCAAAAGGTTTGAAACAAGGGGATTGGAGGTGGAGCCGTGGAGGTGGTCGGTGTGAATTTTGGGTTTGAGGTAGGGATGGGTAAGGATTGAAAGGAAGAAGACGATTGTGTGTGTATGTGTATGTGTTTTAATTTCTTATTTTTTATCTAATTATTTAATTACATAAATGAAAAGTTACTCTTTTACCCATTTTCAAAATATTAAAAATGTGATCGAAGTTAAACTTTTGGTCTACTGACAAAATTATAGATAGAAACTGTCCAAAAGGGCTTCACCTGCAGCATTTGAAAATGATAGAGGTGACTATTGCACAAATCAAATATTTGGAAAAAGTGTTAATATTTCAAAGGTTTGGGACTTTTGCTACAATTATTCCTTATCTTTTACGCACTTGTTTTATTATGAGTTTAAAAGGTAATTATTCATATTGAACTATTTTATTTGAAAATGATTATTATACAAATGTTGCTTAAATAAATATCTTTGTTGATAAGCTATTGTTGTTCACAATTAGCATATTATCATTACAAGAAAAATATACTCATAAAAATAATTCAAATTTCAAATTTACTTTTACGAAGTCATTTCCATAATGGCACTAGAAATTATTAAATTAACCCATGTTTTATGTAGATTAAAAATAATTTTTTAGTAACTTTGACTTGTATTTTAATCAAATTTTGATGAATGATTAAAAAATATTTTGTGAATATATATTTAAAATTAATTATTAACTTTGACTTGTATTTTAATCAATTTTTTTAATTAAATCAAACATGGGCTAAAAGAGAAAAACATGAATTTTGAAGAAAAGCCAGTTCACTCTTGAAAATGGGCAGCTAATCTCCAATTAAATTTATAAAAATTTGCGTTACCATTCCCAGAGTCCGAAATCACAAAATATCCAACGAATCGCAGGGGCATATCGCTCTTGAATTTCCATTCGTGGAAGTTACCCATTTTTTCAACTTGGAAAATTCTCAGACCGTGCAATAAAAGAGTATGTTCTTATTCGTGTTTACGTCAGAAAGAGATGCACTGACCAAGACTTTCTTCACACTGGGCCTGCATTACTGCCCAGGATTGAAGCCTATTTCTTCTGTCATCATCTTGATTAAATGGATGAAAACTAGAAAAGGGGACTAGAGGAAAATGCAAATCCACGTAAAATGATGTCAGGACAAAATCTTAAGATTCATACATTCAACTGGCGTCATAATAGCTAGAATTACTGGTTCAAACAAAATAAAGTAAATAAATTCAGTTTCAAAAAGCAGAGCAGATTTCTGACATCCACAGTTGCTAAAACTCACTATTTCTTCTCTTCCTTCTCAGCCTCGGCAGCCCTCTTGGCCCTGACACCAACATGGCGCTTATTTGTTCGTTCAATACGAAGCTTGTCATATGCCTTGAACGACTTCATTTCGTCTGTAACCTTCACAAGTTCAACAGCTGGCTTCTCACGGACAATTGGTAAGTAAGGACCTTGTACTTGTGTGGCGGTTGCCAACTCCTCAGGAGCAGAATCACCAGCCTGCAGCGAGGAAAAGCAATCTTGAACTGTCCTATATTAAAAGGGAAGAGTAATTTTTTGTTCCAAAAGGTATGTGTACCTTGAATTTGCGAGTGCGTCTTGGGAAGACAACTAATTTGGCTTTGTATGTCTTCAGCCTCTGAACATTAGTTTGGAAACCCTCCAAGGAACTGTTCCTGCGGCGATGATCAACTGCAATGCCAATGGTTGGTGCATATTTCTTTGGGATTCCTGCAGCCTGTTTGTTACATACGGAAATATATTAATACACCACAAGTAGCATTCAAAATACCTCACACAAAGCAACAGAAAAATGATGACAAATGCTGCTAGGAACTAGGACTATGCAGAGACGCAGATATCTCCAAGTTCATTACTACATTGATAAGGTAAAAATGCAGAAAGGGAAGTCCATAGTGCAATCTCTTTAATTCTAATTCATCTAATAAATAATACGTCAATAATTTACATAATAAAAAATTTCAACATTCTGGAGAAAATTCATTGCGCTGCGAGACATTACATCAGGACTTAAAATCAGCATAACCATTGCAACAGCCAAAACCAAGCACAAGCATAGGTAGAAAAAAAATTGAGGTATTTCCTGAAGTCAAACTTGCATTATGGCTAAAACAACTCACCTTGAGTTCTTCAAGAGAAAATCCCCTTCCAGCTCTGACTTTCATATTGTACTTCAGGGTCTGACCATGAACAATAGGACGAAGAGGTCCAGCTGTAGGCCTAGGGAAGATCTTCACAGCCTTCTTTTGTCTAGCTGAAAAACATATCAATCAAACAAGAACCAATCAAGCCATCAATCAAATATTTAGAACACGCAATTAACAACCATCATACAAGTGAACTGTGTTTTGATAATGGCACAAAAATTATTGTCACTGACCAATTCTTCTCCTGGTCTTGCGAGCAGGCTGGTTGAACCATGTCTTTACATAGTTCTGCCAATGCTTTCTGAAGTGCCCGTTAGGAATGACATTGTTGTGCTTGACCATGATTTACCTATTGTAAACCAGATAAGAGTAATAATTAGACTACTAAAACAGCCATTCTGCTATAATAGACTCGATACAACCATGATCCATCAAAGAAATTTTAAATCAACTGATATATGTATCTACATTAATGCAAGATAAAAGACTATAGATTTTGTTTTCTGCACTCAGAAAACTGCAATGAAAGCCAAAAAAATGCGAACTGACAATTAATTTAAATTTCATGATTGAAGTATATATGTTCAGGATAACCCATAAAAACAATCTTTTTGATACCCTAACACAGTCAAATATAAAAAAATAGTAAAAATATATGCTACACGTAGACAAAATTACAACCATTTGTATTTAAACTGCAACATTGAACAGATGCATTAAGAATTTACAAGAATATCCCAGATATCAGCAACGATATGAATAATAGCAAAGCCTCTAAAGATCACAAGCACTAATAATTTTATTCCAAATTTAGGTAGATTGAATCTCTTCGCATATAAATTTACTAACAGCCTTTTAACTTGTTTGAGCAATCAAATTTATATTTTGACGGATACTTTTTATCAATGAAATGACACGATGAATTAACTGCCATTATTAAGGGGGCAGTATTAGAATTAAAAGAAGAGAAACAAGCAAAAATAACAAAATCTAACTATCATGTAACCAAATATATTTCGTAATTCAATAAAGTTCGATTTCCCTGGCGCAAAGAACAGAAAATCATAAAGGCTAACACAGAATATACAACCCACGAAATTGAATAAGATCAGATCAAGTTTTTTTTCCCAGGGCACCCAGACTACAAAATGAAAAACCTAAAAGCATACAGCACATTTTCACTTCATTTTCCTACATTCATTTCCCAGTAAACAAAACAAAGCGTTTCAATCGGTGTTCATACGAACGCGTTAAACATGGAGTTTGATTTGAATAATTTTCATATCAACAATAAAGGCTGATATACATACACATACAGCAGAATTCAACAGCAGCGAAGAACAATTAGATTTTACACTTACAGCGGCTGTTGGTATGGGGTGGAAAGGCTTTGCTGCAAAATCTGAAATTAGGGCGTTTCTGCAATTTATATGTAAGAACGAAGAAACCCTATATTTTAATATGGACCCATATTGAGTGTATTGGGCCGAGCGGGTATACTGAAAGTGACAGGCTTGGGCCAAGGGGAGTGGGTATATACTTATTGTGGTAATTACACAAAACCATACTCTAAGTACTTGTTTGATATGAATTTTTGGGGGGAAGAATTGATTTTTGAATAGTGATATGATGGGAAATGTGTGGTTGAAAAAGAAAAAAAATTATTAATGTGATGGAAAATATTATTTTATTGAAGAATGTGTAATTGAAAATGAGAATTGATTTACTGTAGAATTTGAGAATCAAAAACAAACAGGCCCTAAGTATTAAACCTTCCAAAATCAGAT